CCCCCATCTCTCCCTCTGTTTTTCTCTACCCTCCCCGACCCCTTTCTTACCTGCTTGGACTCTGGGCCACAGGGAGTCCCATCCTGCCCTGCCCCACTACACCGGGGCGGGGGCCGGGGGGGGGGGGAGAAGACACAGGACTTGGGAACTCACCCAGAACTCCAGGGAGCAGCTCTGACCTCATATTCAGGAGGGCAGGACTTCCAGAAGGCCAGAGGTGCTGGGGCTGTAGGTCGTGAGCTATTGGGGGCTCTGAGCGCCATCGAGTAGGTCGCCCGAGTCTGTGCTAATGGAGAAGACAGGGCAGTTCCGAGAGCGGCAGGGGAACCAGAGCAGCTCTCCTGCCTGGTGGGTGGGGTGTGCCCAGGTCCCACGTGCCCACTCTCCTGGTGGTCACACTGGATTCTCATCACAAACATCCTGGACTCTTTCACAGAAGGGAACCTGCTTCTGAGATTCAGCACACAGAGCTGGCTTTCTGGACAGTGTAAATATTTGCCCCTGGGGAACACCACATTTTCAGGAACACAAGCCAGAGAGGCCTTTTGGAGTCTGCAAAGAGTCTACTTTGAGAAGCAAGCCAGTTTCTGGCAGTGTGTCCATCACGTTTCTCTCTTAAAGCAGGAACTGTGCGTGCGTGCATCTCCTCTGCCCTCAGCCTTGTTACTGGCCTCTTTAGGGTAAGAGGAGGAAGGCCAGTCAGCAAGCTCTGGTGTCAGAACCAAGGGTGCTACCTTATCTGTCCTCGCAGCACAGGCCTCTCCGTTCGGGGGGAAGGCCCCACAGCGTGGTGTGTGCACACTCCTGACTCGCGGTGGGCACCTGGAGAGCCCCAGCGCCCTCCTCGGATCCCGTTCCTTATTTCACCAAGAGGAAACCAAGGCCCAAGTGATGAGGTGGCCGATACAGAATTATTGGCCAGTTGTAGCAGAATGAAGATGAGGTCCAGCTTCGGACAGTGGGGGCTGAATGAATGCTGGCCCCAAAGATCACTGTCCTCCACTCTGGAACCCACGGCTGTGACATGTGAAGAAGGGTCTCTGCAGGTCTGATCTTCATCCTGGTGGGGCCCAGCTGCCTGCATGTGCATCTTTGTAAGAGGGAGGCAGTGAGAGACTTGACCCAGAGGAGACAGACACATGGAGAGACCATGTGACAACAGAGCAGAAGCTGGAGGTGTGGCCACAAGCCCAGAACACCTGGGGACACCAGGAGCTGGAAGAGACAGAAAGAACCCTCCCCTGGAACCTCCAGATGGAGTGCAGCCCTGTGACACCTAGATTTCTAACTGCTAGCCCCAAAGCGGAGAGCATACGTTTCTATTGTTTAAACCCCCAATTTGCAGCTCTTTATTATCGCTGTCCCAGGACACTGTCACACTGTCCCCCAGGCCCTGTTATCCTCCACGGACCCTGTTTTTAAATTTTATTTATTTATTTTTTTAGAGAGGAAGGGAGAGAGAGAGACATCGATGTGTTCCACTTATGTACACATTCACTGGTTGATTCTTGTATGTGCCCTGACTGGGGATCAGACATGCAACCCTGGCATATTGGGACAACGCTGGAACCAACTGAGTTACCCAGCCGGGGCCTCAGACTCTCTTTATTGAAGCCCAGATCCTGAAGACCACTGCACTGGCCTCCTTTAAAGAACTGTAGGCGGAGCTAGCACGGATCTTTCAAGGGAAACACACACAGGTTTTATCTGTTTGGAAAAGAGGCTACACCTGTCCTTCCTGGGACAAAGCAACTGAATTAATCCCAATGGCTGCTGGTGGGAAATGAAGCAGGTCTTATAAGGTCTTTCTTTTCATGTGCTTGGTCTCACTCAGGCATCAGGTGAAGAAGCAGTAACGTCTCCACACTGCTTTCCTCAAAGATCTTTCCCCCAGGTTCCCACCTTTGTTTTACTCAGGAGCATGGGGTTCCCAAGGAAAACAGAGGCCCCTGCAAACTTGGGAATGTGTTTGCTAAGATCCCAGATGCACCAAATTCTGAAGGAATACTTGAACATTGAAATCTGAAAAGCAGAGGCACTCAGGAGGTGTGTATTTGCATCACAAAAGATTTCTCCTTTCCTATCTCACCTCTGCTGCCTGAAGCAGGAGCTGGTCTCCTGCCCCTCCTTCTGACAGGTGCGTGAGATCTCCCAGACCTGGCACCTGCGGTGATGGACTGCCTGTGTCACCACAGTTCTGGTGGATGTGGGGAAGGACCCTGGCATGGTTGCTGGGCTCCACCGAGTGCTATCCCATAGGAAGGTGCAGCCAGGGCTCCTGGTCTTTCAAGGGAGGCCAGGAGCCATGATTTCAGGCGACTCCCATCACCCTGCACCCACGGGCAGCAGTGGGGAGTGCCTCACGGTCTCACCTGAGCAGATGGTCATTCCTGGGCCTTTCACAAAGACCCATCTTGGACAGACCCTTCGAGGGCAGGGCTGCTTGCTGGGGAGGACAAGGAGCTCAGTCTCGCGCTATGGCTCGTGGAGCAGAGGTCCTCCAGAGGCTTAGTGCAGGACAGAGTTGGGCAGGAGATATGGGTGGCAGCCTTGGGGCAGCTGATTGGTAGGCCTGAGTAGTCTCTCCTGAGAGCCCCTGCAGGGTGAGAGGAGTAGGGATCAGACCATGGGGACCCGCAGACAGAGAAGGTCGCAGCCACCTAACACTGACATGCAAAAGAAGGACCTGGGCGTTCCTCAAGCTTTAGGATACCTCAGGCTGAAATCCTGTCCCCACGGCCAGCAGAGCCAGGCCACTGGAGGGCCCAGCAGAGGCTGGCGAATGAATGGATAACGCACCAGGGCAGCTGGAGGTGGGAGCAGGAAGCGAGCATGGAGCATTGTCCCCCACCCTCACCCCTATGCCTGAGGGGATCAGCAGAAGGTCAGGCCCACCCTGCTTGCTTGATAGGGAAGCCCTGGGAGTGGGGGGCGTGCAGGAACAGAGCTCTCAGTCAGGGGAGTAAGGAGGATAGTGCTGAGGACCCTCTACAGAAATCTGGGCAGGCAGAAGGCGCGGCCAGATCTGGATGAGAGGCAGACCTTTTTTTTTTTTTTAAGATTTTATTTATTTGCCCTGGCTGGTGTAGCTCAGTGGGCTGGGCGCCAGCCTGCAGACTGAAAGCTCGCAGGTTCCATTCCCAGTCAGGACACATGCCTGGGTTGGGGGGTCAGTCCCTGGTAGGGGGGCGTACAGGAGGCAGTAGATCAATGTTGCTCTCACACATCGATGTTTCTCTCCTAGTCTTTCTCCTTCCCTCCCCCTCACTCTTTTTAAAAAAGATTTCTTTTTAAATTTTATTTTTTTTAAGAGAGGAAGGGAGAGAGACATCGATGTGTTCCACTTATTTACACACACATTGGTTGATTTTACTTTAAAAAATTTATTTTTAAATAAAACAATTCTAAAGATTGTATTTATTTTTTAGAGCGAGGGGAAGGGAGGGAGAAAAACACCAACCTGTTGCCTCTCCTATGTCCCCCTCAACAACCCAGGCATGTGCCCTGACTGGGAATGGAACCTGCGACCTTTCAGTTTGCCAGCCAGCACCCAACCCACTGAGCCACACTGGTCAGGGTGAGAGGCAGACTTTTATAGGCATGAGGCTGGGGCTCCTCTGGGGTGGCAAAGGGAGTGAGGGCGGAAAGTAAAGGTCCAGGAGCGGGGGTCTCCGCCACAGGGTGCTCAGATCAGGGTAGGCAGATAAGGGGCATCCCAGGAGCAGGGCTGGACTCTGTGGGAGATGGGCACTTGCTGGACTTCGGGAGATGGGGTATCTGCTTACGCCCCTGTCTCGCTTGAGGGCCCCAATTATCTGGGATTTGGTGCCTAGGAGGTCACCCCTGCGGGAAGGGGCCACACACCTGGCGAGCATCCCTGTGGTAGGTTTATCCATTGCAGTTAAAGCTTTTGGCCCTTCAGTTTAGCCAAAGCTGTACAGATTAAAGGGCATTTTAATGTAACCAGGACAAATTTGACTGAAACCAGCAGTCACAGGGATGAGGACTGTTACTTTTCTCCCCAATGTTTTTTACCTTTTATTTGAGCCTCTCTGCATCTCAGAGGTAGTTGCTGATTTAGCTTGTCAATAAACACTGTAGATTCTAGCGTTGGGATATATGTGGGTGGACATTTTTTTTCAAAAGGAACTTCAGGCACTTTAGGGCCGTAGTCACATCGGATTCCAGGCCTGGAGCCAAGGGAAAGGTGAGGGGCGTCCAGTGACACTGTGGCCCCCCGTCAGGAGGGATGATGAAGCTGTGGGGCTGGGAGGGCTGTCCGGCCAAGTAGCCCTGGGGCTGCATGTCCACACGCAGGCACCTCTACTTCTGCCCTCTGCCGGGCCCTCAGCACTCTGCAGCCATTGAGTCAGAACAGAAATGCCTGGGGAGCAGAGGGTGCCTGCTGCCTCCCCTAGAGTCCCTGGGAAACCCTCCCATCTCTGGGGGCGAGTGGCTAATGCAGGCATGAGTCTCTTTGCCAGGCAGGATCCTCTGGTTCAAGGTGCTTCCCTGATCACCCTATTCATGTTTGCTTTCCTCGTGCTCTTCACTTTTGTGGGTCCTTTATCAGGGCCATGCGAGCTTTTGTTCTGCAGCGTTTCAGTTGGAAGTATCCCATTTTTCCATGACTGGTTTTGGGATTGGCTCTGGAAGCTGAGGAGCTTCTCTGAGCCGACTGCTCCGCCTCACCTGGCTGCCCTGGGGGAGGTGCCTGCCCACCAACCCCCGCACAGCCGGGATCCTGGCCACCTGCATTCTTGGGCAGCGACAGGGCATCATTCTCCCAGTTCTTGTGTCTGGCAGCAGCGTGTTGTCCTAAGATGGTTCTCATGGAACCAGAAAACATGGTGAGATGTGCATGTCTTTTACTTGCTAAGAGTCTAAGACTTAGTGAGGCGTGCACAGGTTGGCGTCTCTGCAGTGACACCCTTGAAGACTGGTGTCCATGGCCTGCCCCACAGAGCCATGTGGTCACATGCTTGCTGTTCTCTCTGCAGGAGCTTCTCAGCGGGGACCCCACAGAAGGACCTTTCCGGGAGGACCAGTGTCCTCTAGAGGGTAAGTCCCACTCCCCAAACCTCACAGACTCTACCCTGTGCCCCAGGCATATGCTCAAAACCTGCCCTCAGGACACCGGGAGAGATGAGCCCCTGATGACACGGACCACCCATGCTGCATGCTCCTTAGCTTCCCCACCAAACCCAGACCAACCCAGGGCAGCCTTCTCACCTCCATCTCTGAAGCCACTGCTGGCTGGGTGGGGCAGAACCAGGAGGACACGCCTGGCTATGTCTGGCTATCCGAAGCTAGGGCCGAGGGCACATGTGGCCATGGCTAAGCCAGGCGAGGGCTTCCTGCCCTTTGCACAGATCCATTGATAGCTCCTTGTTCTGGAAGGACGGGCTGTCAGCTCAGGAACATGTGGAAAGAATCACAGGCTCCCCGGCCGCACCTTCCCACATCCCCGCTCCCCTGACTTCCCTGTCTGGGCTGGGTCAGGAGAAAACAGTTCTTCCTCTCTCCTCCTTGTACCTCCAGTGGCACTCCCCGCCGAGAAGGCCGAGGGTCGAGAGGGGACCGGACAGCTCTTCACTGCCGATGATGTTGAAAGAGCAGCAAACCGCGAGGGCCCGCGAGGCCTGGGCAAGAAGCACCTGAACATTGATGTAGGTCTTTGCTCTGTTTCATGGTGCAAAGGGGTCTGCAGCTGGGATAGGTGCACATTGACCCTAAAACAGCCTCCTGCCTGGACAGTTTTCCTGCGGTTCAGCCAGTTGGGGGAGTTACCGCAAAGCTTGCATGTGCTTCCAACATCTGCAAGCTCTGGAAAAGGGGGTGGTGCACAAGGAAAGTGTCGCCACATATCCAGCCCAGACTGGTCGATGTGGCACCAAATAATCCGGGGGACTTCCTCAGCTGTGGCACTAGCACCATGGCAATGACGCAGAGGTCCACCATTCGTCTCCCAGTCCACCCAAGGCAGGAGCTTGAGGGAGCAATGAGGGGACCTGTTCCCCTGAGAGATGGGGGAGGCTTGGGGGTCCCAGCTCAGGGCGATGACCCCACCTGCCCCTATTCCCATGTGCCCCTCAGGCGCTCCAGTGTGACGTCTCGGTGGAGGAGGACAACCGCCAGGAGTGGACCTTCACGCTCTATGGCTTCGACAACAGTGGGAAGGCCACCAGGGAGGTGATGTGCTTGTGTTTTTGGAAGGTGGTCCACAGGGCGGGGGCCTGGCAGAACAGACCATGGCCTCTGTGATGGGGGGACAGGCTGAGCCCTGGAGGGCGGGAGGAGACGCTGGGCCTTTCCCAGGAGGGGGGCGGGGGTGATGGATCTAGGCAACTTTGCGAGCCTTGTGGCCCGAGGCTGTCAGAGCCCCGCATGGCCTGTTTCTGGATCCCCCGGAGGCTCAGTGGGCACAGTGGCAAGAGTCCCGGAAGGGCCCCCGGCACTTGCCTCGGCTGGCCTGCGTGTCCAGGATGGGCGGTGTGCCCCTCTAAAGGAAGCAAACATGTAGGATGACAGAAATAAGTGTCTGTGGGTTAGAGTAACACTTTGGTAGTTATTTGGTTGCTGAGTCCTTTGAACGTATAGATTCAGTGTGAAATTTAAACAGTCCAAGAGATATGATTCCAACAGCAGCAGGACTACTTACCCAGGCTGTTTGGTGCCACACGGGGTTAAATGTGGAGTAAGAAAGGCTGCTCAGTTGTGGCCATTCTGTCTGAGCCAGCGCTCGTATGGAATGCAGAGCCACTCAAACAGGCGGGCAGCCTGGAAGCGGTGGCATGGGGAGGGCAGATCGCAGCCCAGTCTGCCTGTGTCAGTGACGCCAGTGCCATCCTCAGGACATGTCCAGCCTTATGCACACCATCTACGAGGTCGTCGACGCCTCAGTCAATCACTCCTCTGGCAGCAGTAAGACCCTCCGCGTGAAGCTGACCGTCAGCCCTGAGCCCTCCAGCAAGAGGAAGGAGAGTCCCCCCGCTGGACAGGGTGAGGGGCCTGGCTCCCCTGCTCGGATGCCTGGAAGGTCCTGCTGTAAATGGCCGCGCACCCCCTCCTTGCAGACCCCTCCTGGTTCCCCACCTGCGCTCTGCATTTCCTCAGAGCCCTTACCTCCACACCCGGCCATGGGGATTACTGGTTGTTGTGTCTACTATTCAGCGCCTCGCTGCCTGCCCTGCTCCCCTGCCCCCCGCCAAGGCCTGGGCAAAATCTCTGGTTTCCTGAACATGGAAGGCAGGGCCTGGCACCTGGCAAGGGCTCCGAAGTATTTGCTCAGTGAATGAATGAACGAGCGAACAAATGACTGAGTGAATTCACTCTTGCAGACCGGGAGCCCACTCGCTGCAGGACGGAAGGCGAGATCCCGGAGGACTCTAGGGTGGCCGATAGGAGGCTGTCTGCATACATCAGGTGAGGGACCGGGGTCGGGCTCCACCCTCCAGGTGTACCCTGCTCAGGTGGGAGCAGCCCGCCCACACCCCTGCTCCCTGCAGGCCTCAAGGACTGCCCCCTGAGGGCCGACTGCCAGGCGGGCAGCTGGGTGCCGGGAGCCCTGGGCACAGCCTCCTGTTGGGGCGCGGGTGCTGCCCTGTGGCCCGGCACCCGGCTGGAGCTGAGAACACCCAGTGTCTGCCTGAGAGATGAGTGAGGCTTGAAGGGCAGGTCAGCTGTGAGACCCTCGGTCTGGCACACTGGTTCCACTCACCGGCTGTGGCGGTGACAGGGACAGTGGAGGTGTCCGAGCAGTGACCCGCTCTCTGCCTCAGGGCCCAACTGGGTGTCCTAGGTGGACCAGGAGACAGGAGTTCTTGCAGGCTCCCTAAGGCAACTCGCAACAATGATTCTGGGGTGCTGATGGGGTTCCAGGCCAGCTGGGGACCTTGCTGTCGTGCACACCCACGCGCTCTGATGCTCCTCTCTGGGAAGCAGTGCTGGTCAGAGCCCGCTGCCCAGGACCGTCCACTCCGGTGCCCCCTTCCTCTCCGAGGAATGTCTGCTCTGGCCTGGTGTGGAGGTCAGGCCCCTTCAGCTCTGTGCCCCATGCAGGAGGCCCAATGCCGACCCCCATCCCTGTCCCGTGAGGGGACCATACTGCGTGGATGAGAACACTGAGCGGAGAAACCACTACCTAGACCTGGCCGGAATAGAAAACTATACATCTAAATTCGGGCCCGGTAGGTACTTGGGACCATTCCCCTGGGCAAGAGGCCCCGGGGTGTGGACGCCTCCCTTAGGAGCATGAGCCCTGGCCTGAGGGTTCTAGAGCTCCTGCAACAACTATGCTGTGGCATTGCATGCGGGTGTGGGGGGTACTTGGTGCAAGGTGGGATGTCCAGGCCCTGCAGAGGGTCTCACAGGTCTGTGTCCCATGTGTGCAGGGTCCCCACCAACACAGGCCAAGCAGGAGCACCAGGGCAAGACCTCCCAGCCCCCGAGCAGATCTCGCTCCCAGGAGTCGGATGCACACACCATGTACAACCGCAGGTCCCAGGTGCTGGCTGACCATGTCCTGCTGGCCAGCGAGCCCGCTGCCCGGGCCCTGGACATGCAGCCCCGGCTGAAGGGGCAGGAAAAGCAATTCCTCAAGTCTCCCAAGGGCTCGGGCAGGCCGCCCGGGGTGCCCAGTGGGGGCGTGCCTGGTGGAGGCAAACCCGGGAGGGCCTTCGGCTACTACCCACCAGCCGCACTGCCCCAGCCCCCCCAGGAGAGCCACCACCTCCCACAGCCCCCGCCACAGCCCCCGCCACAGCCCTATGGCCACAAGAGGTACCGGCAGAAGGGCAGGGAGGGCCACTCACCGCTGAAGGCCACGCTGGGCCAGCCTGCGGTAATGGAGCACGAGGTGGTACGGGACCTGCCGCCCTTGCTGGTGGGGGAGGGCTACTCCGTGCCCGTGATCCAGCGCCACGAACACCACCACCATCACGAACACCACCACCACCACCACTACCACCACCACCACCCGTCCTAGCGTGCACGCGCTGACCCGGGCGCCCAGCTCCAGGTCTCCGGCGTGGGCGGCTGAGGCGGCACCAGGTGGACACTCACGGAGAAGGCCCTTCCTCTGCTCTCCTTTCCTCCGTGCTCCCGACGGATGTCCTGTTGAAGTGAACACATTCGATGCCACTGGCGTTTCCCAGTTATGAAGTGATTCTGTGTAACCCATAAAACCACATGTAAGCATAGAAGAGTACAGTTATATCTTTCATGTATGATTCCAAAATGAGCCCTCCTGGCCTGGAAGGGACTCTGCTCAGACGACTTCCGCGTTTTCCTCACGGCGCCTCATGCTTCGGGTGCCTTGGACTGAGAGGTGCAGGGTGGCAAGGCCTTGATGTTATGTAGCAGAGCGCGAAGGTGCAGTGTTGCAGCCTTCGTGTGTTATTCATTCTGAAGCCCAGAGTGGTGGTTTTGGGGAGCCACTCTTCCTTGCTCAGTGTGCTGCATGTGCGGCAGGGAGTTCTGCCTCACCACGCTGAGTACTGCTCCTAACGGAAGGGCGGCCACGAGGGAGGCGCAAAGTGCTCCTCAAACGGCGGTCAATAAATTCAGGAAGTGAGGCCATGAGAGCAAAGGGGGGACACGCGTGGGTTGGTGCCGGCACCAGCATCTTAAGTGGACACAGGCGGGGACAGCAGGGCCAGGGGAGGCGGTAGTTTCTATCTAAAACAATCACAGTCCATGGGACGAGAGGCAGGACATGTGTTTTCTGGACTCACATAAACCATTGTAGTGCTCGTGGCACAGTGTCCGTGGTGTCCACCTGCAGAGCAGAGTGATCCCTCCAGGGAAAGCGGCAGTGATGGTGTCAGGGTCATGGGACCTTCGCTGGCAGCGCCCTGTGGCAGGACAATGCTGCTCCTTCCTCCATCCCACATGAGCAAGTGGACTTTCTGGCAATTTGAGAGTTTAGGCAGGTGATTGTGCATTCACCTTCATGGAACTGTTTTTAAGAATCCAGCAAATTGGTGGTTGCCTTGTAATTGAGGTTCCCCTTGCCCTGAGGCATAATAAAAATACGTGCATTTTGTAATATGTCATACTGTTTTAAAATGAGCTTTTTATTTTTTAAGATTTTATTTGTTTTTAGAGAGAGAGAGGAAGGGAGGGAAACATCAGTGTGATCAATTGCCTCCCACACGTCCCAGCTGGGGACCTGGCCTGCAACCCAGGCATGTGCCTCTGCCTAGGAATCAAACCAGTGACCTTTTGGTTCACAGGCTGGTGTTCAATCCACTGAGCCACACCAGCCAGGACTAAAATGAGGTTTTTAAATAGATACAGTCAGCCCACCTGCACCAGCCTGTGGGAGTTCATGATGCATGGAGAGCGTGTCTATCTGTTTATACAGACATTTGTAGAAGGAAAATATGGAACTCCAGACTTATGGGTAATGGTTTTTTGGGGGGTTTTTTTTTGCACCCACTTTACTGCTCCAAAACACAAAAACAAAAAACCCAAAACCTAAGCCCCAAATTGGGTTTATGATAACGGGATACCTCGGGCCACTGTCTGGAGCTGCACGGACCAAGGTTTACATGGGGACGCTGGGCTCTCTGTGATGAGACTCTGGAAGAGCCGATGCATCATTTGCAACCTTCTCCTCCCTTTTGCCATTGTGTCCCTGTCCGGCTGTTGTAAAGCCCCTCTGGACTTCGGAGTCACTGGTGTCTGTGATCCGAGGCCACGGGTGAGGGAGAACTAGGAGTTCTCAAGGTCTTTTGAGGCAGGAGCACTCGCATCTCAATTTCCCAGGTATCTCAGGTCATCAGACCCCAGCTGGTGTCTGGCTGCCCCCACACACACGCATGCTGCACGACACCCACGTGGCTGGCACTGCGGTTTTTACAGAAATGCCTGTCATCCCAACCTGGGTCTATTCCTCAGTGTGTAGAGCTCCCGCACCTGGTTCCATATTTGGGAACCTTATTTAATTAATCCCAGAAGCCCCCTGCGGCCCAACCACAGCCCTCCGGTAGGTGCTCTGCAGGCTGGCTGGCAGGGAAGTGGGGGTGGGGCCTGAACTCTAGCCTCTGACCCAGACCCTGGTTTTAAAGACAATTTGTAAGTGCAGTGAAACACCAACAAATCCACCGGAAGTTGAGTGTGTCTGCTGCTTGTGAGCCCGTGCAGCAGAGACGCTTACCATTGTCCAAATGGAAATGACCACCACCTGGCCCCGCCTGTGAATGTTCACTTCACCGGCTCCTGCAGGCAGTGGCGACCTCTGGTGGGCAAGGGTCACACACCTCGCCGCCTCACATTGTGGGTGTGCCTTTTGGCGTCCACAATGAACAGATTAAAACAGCACCTGGCACATGAGTGAAGCTCGTGCAGATGTTCCAACACATTAATGTAACCATTAATTCCTGGACAGACAACACAGACGACATGACGTGTTCCAGGGACGTTTCACGGGTAACCATGCTGGAATCCAGCGGGCAGTTGTCCCTGGTCCCTTCTCTACAGCAGTCATGCTTATGGGGGCAGATGTGAGTGCTGTCTTGAGACCTCTTGGTCCCAACTCTTGCACCTTCATCCGCCTCTCACGCGGGGGACAAGGCCACTGCAGAAAAGCGAAGAGATGGACGAGCCAGAGCTGCCTTCTCGTCTCCTGAGCGCTTGACACTGTCGCAGTGAAAACAGGGTTTGGGGGGAAGTTGTACCTGAGGCCCCAGCAATGCCAGGTTGGGGAGACCTGGGGCCGGAGTGGACAGGCTGTACTGGCCGGGCCCCAGGGCCCTGTGTGCGGGATCAGAGGGGCGGGTGGCACTGAGTAGGGCTGAGTGGGGCCCGGAGACCAACTGCACCCAGGGCCGGCAGCCCACACAAGGCTGCCTCAGGGAAAGCAGCCCCAGGGTGGGAGGGGTCCCCTCAGAGGGCGATAGCCATAGATGGCGGCGACAGCCATAGACGGGGCGGCACCAGGTGCTGGTGGCCCACCCAGCAAGGCGGAGGTGCCTGCCTGCTGGGGGCGAGTGCGGTGGGAGTGCGGTGGGAGCATCGGGAAGGGCCGAGTGCCTCCTCCAGGGCACTGTGAGCTGTGGTGACACGCACACACCAGCAGTTCTGTTTTATCTTGGCAGTTTGGGTGTGCATTTAAGACCAACTTGGGCTCTGGTGTCTGATGGCATCCGTGCCCCTTTCCAAGGCTGTCCAGTGGCGAAGATGACTCTGTGCTGCACTGAACCCGCTGCGTGGGTGCCCATGGGTGTGTGGTTAACACCCGGGGACCTTACCACATCTTCCCACGAGTCTCTGCCAGACCCCGGTGGAGCCTGCTCCTTTCACTCCCCCTTGGCACCCTCACTCCTGCTCAGAAGCCTGGGCCCCTGTACTCCAGGTCATGGGTGTGCATGCTCCTAGCGGAGGCTAAAGGACAGCTCTGCTCTCCAGGTTACTCTCCCACAGCCCTGTGTCCACTGCCCCCAAAGTCCCCAAGAGGCACGGCAGGCAGCTTCACACACCTCAGTTCTCTTCATGGCAATCGGTGTTCTGTCCAGAGACTGCAAGCTCCACCACGAACGCTTTGGAACATCTTCGCCCCAAAAGGAACCACGTGCCCCCTCTGTCACTCTCCCTTCTGCCACCCCATGAACTCACCACAATCCACATTGTCTGGATTCCACGACTTGGCACTGTTCATGTTAAGTGGAATCATGCGTGACCTGTGGCTGGCTTCTTGCACACAGCTCATCCATGTGGTTGCACATTAGAATGTCATTCTAACAACTGAATTATATTCCAGGGAATGTGTGTATGTATTTAGTCACTTACTAATAGATGGGTGTTTGGGCTGTTCCCACATTCTGGCTGGTGTGACTAGTGCTGCTATGAACATGTGCTGCTATGAACACATGGATACAAGTTTATGTAGACATTTCTCTGGGCTATACACCCAGGAGGGGTATTGCTGGGTCACACAGTGATTGTGTAAAAATTTAGGAACTCTTTTAGGAGCTTCAGCAGTTTCCACAGCAACCACACCTTCACACATCGTAGGAAGTTACCCTCCATCCCCTTGCTCCCCACCATCCCGGCGGGTGTGATCTCACTGTAAGCCCGAGTCTTATAAAGGGTCCCTTTTAATCACAGGTTTTATTTGCTGATATCTTCCTGATAGAAACTATACATTGAGTCATTTCGGCAAACTCCTCCAAAAGAAGGGAGGCCTGGGGGCATTTTCTGCAATTGCCTAATTTTTATGCTGAAAGAGACACATGAGACTCTTCAATGTAGATTTCATTCAGGTTTATTCTTCTACTAACAAAAATCATACAAAGACAAGGAATCTGTAAAAGGAAAACAAAATCCACTTGAACCAACTGCTGTTACAGATATACAAAGCTCAGTGTGGAGAGGCTACGTGGTGCTCAGAGACTGCGGACAGGCAGGTGGGGCAGACACGCGGATCCTCACTGCGCATCCGTGAATGAGGCGGGTTTCACTTAACTCAGGGCTGAACAGGGTGAGCCAAAGTCTGGACGCCCCACCCCCAGCCCAGCTGTGGCTATTTGGCACATGCTCTGGCCAGTGGTCATTCTGATGGCTCCTCAGAAACATCTGGAAATGCGCCCTTAGCCTTTGCCCTGACATGAAATCTGCGGCCCAGGCCAACTCCCGTGGGAGCCCACAGAAGTGTGAGAAAGCCAAGGGCCTGCTCCTCTGGGCCTGTTTCGTAGACACAGTCTCTTTGAGGACAATTAGCATTGAAACGCCCAGGTGTTTAAACAAATAAATAAACCACACAGAAAGCGAGGCACAAATTACTGCAGCATCTACAGTGAACATGATCATGACCACAAGCAGAAAGACCACAAGGTAAAGTGCGAAGTCTACAGATCACTAAAAGGTACTGTGTCAGTGCCCTCAACACAGCTGTCACCATCCCCTCCATGCGGTGGAGGGACATGGGCTTCAGCCAGACAACTCAGTGCATGTGCCCTTCCCGGCCCCGGGCGCCCACGCTGCAGCCCGGCGCCCTCCCCAGAGTGTAAGGTGTGGACATGGAGGTCAAGGAGCGAGTGCGCATCAGAAGCTGAACTGTGTGGCGTGCCTGTGGCTCTGAAGGTGTGAACTCTTGGCATTTAACGTTTCCATGTCTCAGAAATGAGGTGCCTGCCGGGCTGGGCCCACCAGTGCTATTAAAGTCTGGAGTTCCCAGACACACCTGGGCTCAGAGAGCTCCTCGATGGGGGGTTCTTTCCCTTGGGAGCTTCCTGGAGCACAAACCCAGCTCAATGGCCACTCTGTGCTCCCCGACAACTAGGCTCCCTTACCAGACATCCCCAGCAAGGCAGGTACCTGACCAAGGCCAACCGGCTGAGCCCGGGGACGTGGATGGGGGCAGCTGGCTTCCCTGCCTTTACAGAAACACAAGCAGCGATGTTCAAAGGAACAGAGAGATCGGGGGGCTGATGAGGAACCTGTAGTGAGTTCTTAGCCACAGGCTGACCTTTCAGAGTCATAAACAGACCGAATGTCTCACGGGCCAACTTCAGTCCAAGTGTGGCTTCTTGTGAATGTCCTGGGTGGGGAAGAACTGCAGTGTGACTGCCACAACAGACCAGGCAGGTGCAGTCAAGGTGGATTAATTCCAGAATCCAGAGGCTGAGTACATAGCGCCACGAGAGGGACAGCTGTGTCCCAGGCACTCTGGGCCTCCCTCAGGAGCACACGGAACACCAAGGGCATCTCATCTCCCAGACTCGAGGAAACCTTTTCAGTCATGCGCTGGCTCTCAGCCTTGGCAGGAGAGCCCGGTGATATTCTAGAAACTTCTGTAGGAAGCCACGCTGGCGGGTCAGGCCACTGGCCTATGTGGGCAGCACCATCCCTGTGCCTGCCCAGCGCACTTCTGGAGTGGCCGAACGTTAGGAGTAGATGGTGATCACCTCCCGGCCACTGCCCCTGACCAGGAGGACCCTGTTCAGCCCCTCGGTCAGGACCTCGAGGAACTCCATATCTGGGGTGGACTGAGTTAAGGCCATGGCTGATGCCACGGTACACGTAGCCTA